TCACTTTAATCTACATGAACTCTGGATGAGAAGAGTGCCATGTCCCAGGTGGTTACACGGAAGCATGCCCTAGGTTTTGGGTTTGCGGTTCTGCAATCCTGGTCTTACGGGTCATTGTGTCAGGACATGGACCTGGACTTATTCCATCCCGAAACCGACGAGATCACGCCCCTTCCGGTCGATGACAAAGACGACGTCAACGAGAAAGTCGAGAGCAGAGACTTTGACCGATTTGAGGCACCCTGTATCTTAGGGTGCTTGGAAATATTTTTCAATTTTTGGTTATTATAATCTCTAAGAAACAGCTAAAATTCTAATTTTTGCTAGGGTTCTAAGAAAAAGGTATTGCGTGTTGGAACGTCCTCGTAAACCCCAAAAGTATTTGCATGGCGCGGCACCCAGTTCAGTTCAACTATTCCCAGATCATAAACTCACCGGTGTCAGGGATGACTTCCTTGTCTTCCCGCCTCTGCTTTGATTTGAAGCTGTCACCGTCATTCTGATGAGTCAGCCTTTGCTCCGTCTGTTTCTCTGTCCCTCCCCCCTCCCCCTCCCTCTCCCTCTCGCTCTCTCTCTCTCTCTCTCTCTCTCTTTCTCTCCCTCTTTGTCTCTCTCTCTCTCTCTTTGTCTCTCTCTCTCTCTCTCTTTCTTTCTCTCCGTCTCTCTCTCTCTCTCTCTCTCTCTCTCTCTCCCTCTCTCTCTCTCTCTATCTCTCTCTCGCTCTCTCTCATCCTAAACGTTCTCTCGCTCTCTCCCATCCCGTATGTGTTCGAGTTTGGACCTGGGTTCCCATTCACATCGCATGTGCCTTGCACTACTATAGCAATCGGAATGAAAACCCTGTAGAGTATAGTAGAATATGCCCAAGAGCCCTATTCTAATTTGTTAGGCCCCTGCATTACTGTAGCCCGGGCTTTTTCCAGGGGCCCGGGTCAAAACAGAGCATATCAGAGCTTGTAGCACGACCCTAAAACAATGAGGTCATGGTGGGGCCGTTTCAGGGTGTAGGCATACAGTTTGAGCATTCAGTTCCAGCGTTTAGTGCTTTTGGGGTGTGGTTTATTCTTTGCATCAGATGGTTGGCAATGCATGCCTCGAGGCATAGAGATAGCAGAGGCGACCTGAATCGGAGACACTGACATCCTGAGCCCTGAGCCCCACAAGCTCGCATGATTCATGTTCTCAGGTAGCATGATCCGTTTTAGTTACAAGGATCCGCAAGCCAGGTAGCCGTAACTGTGAGAAGAACACCCATTCATAGGGCTACGCTCACAAAGATCGGGCTGGCATAAGTGCCTAGGTTTCCCGACCTTTAGGGCTCCAAGATCCCCCCGTCTACAAGAAGCAGGTTATCCGTAGGCCCCGAAGTAGTTCCTTTTTTGGGATTACCTTATAGGATTCTATATATGAACCCCAAAAAGGAACTACTTTGGGGCCTCAGGGTATCCATAAGCAACGGCTATGGTTTCAGGGCCTTTAGGGGTTTAGGCTTCCGTGCATCAGGGCTTCGGAGTTTCGGTTTATAGGGGCACCGTTTCTTAGGGACCCAAAAAGCACATAAGCAAAAATTAGGATAGGGATATTCCATATAAACTCCTTATAATGAAGCCCATTAAGGTAGGGATAGCCCTACAAAATGCTTATGCTTATGTGCTTTTTGGGGTCCCTAGTTTCTACATACGCCTCATTAAAGGGACCCCGAAAGAAGGTACCATATGGGGTTCAGGGTTTAGGGACTCAGTTCGGAGAGTTTTTCGGGCATTGTGATTAAATTCTGGCCTCGTAAATAGCCTGGCGTAGTTTTGGAATAATCGCTTGCTGACAACTAGACCCCTTGTCATGTTTCATGCTGCAAAGAGCCCTGACTACACCCACATGTTTGTGCTCCAGTCTGGGATCATTGGGGCACACGTTGATTCGTTTGCAAGATCACGATCTGTTTGCTCGTCAAAGGCGTAGCGAATCAGTCGCCTCTGTGCCGACTCGGCTGACCTTGCCGCAGATGTGCACGTGGCATGTCTTCAACGGCATGCTGAGCGGATTAGAAAGGTGGAGGCAATTGTTGCCAAGTTCGACTGATGCACCTTCTAAGTCGGTGGTGTTGAGCAGAGCAGGCACAAGAAATAGAGATGCCTGACGCTGACTGACGTACGTACCATCAGCGCCACACGCTAAGCTTAAGCCGCCAAACTAAACCCAAATCACGAGACCTCGACCTCAACGCCCTCAACTGACAACCCGTATTCCAGCAAGCCTGAACCCGTAAAGTGCCTTACAGGAGCTTGTCAGAGGAACCCCACCCATGAAGCTGCCTGGCAAAGACCCTTCAGCCCCAGAAGCCCAGGACAGCACAGCAAGGCCTTTTACAAGGCATGCCTGGCAAAGGGACTTTGTAAGGGCTTCAAAACCGCCTGTATAGTTTTCTTAATTTGGAGGTTTCCGAAAGTAGGGGACCCATATAGTACCCTAAAGAGTAGGATCCTCATTATAAGGACCCTGAACTAAGTGTACCCCGAATCTTCGGAAACTCCCATTTGTTGTATCGCCGCATCGAGTTTTTTCATATGGGGCGCTGAGGAAGTAGTAGATGTATCTATAACTCTACTCGGGATGCGGGTGCCATACGCGTTTCCTATGGGTGCTGCAAGAGTACTACGGTTGATGATGTAAATCCTGCATTATCCATAATAAGGAATGTTCCATAATTCCCACAGTTTAGGATCCTTAAGGTAATGCAGGATTTATATCATCAACCGTAGAAGACTTTTTGGGGGTTGCGGGAGACTTGGTTCTTGGATTCCGCTTGCCCACTCAGTCCCATCATTGAGGCCTCCCTGTAGTCTCCATTGTAGTTCCTTTTGGGGTTTAGGGTTTAGGGGATCCTTACTATATATTTGGTTAAACCAAAAAGGAACTACAATGGAGACTATAGGTCTTTTGTTGCGACCAGACGTGAACGGTGGATGTTCCACGACTAGGAACCTCCCATAATGAAGCCCTAAACCCATGGTTTCATTCCTGCAGTGATGAAGCCGACACTTCATAGAGCAAAGCGATAAGATCTTTAATTGCTAGTTTCTTAGGGGTACTTAGAAACATTTTTAATTTCTGGTTATTATAATCCCTAAGAAACAGCTGAATTCTAATTTTTGCTAGGGTTCTAAGTTGAGTATAGGTTTGGATTGAGGCAAGCACCTGTGCCTCCAGCAACATGAGTTACCAGAAAGGAAGGGTTTACTATTGCGACGGCTGCAATGGGATGAAGCCCAAAGGAGACTTTCAGTCGGGCTACTTTCCAGGGCACCGGGAATGGTTACCCCCAGAGCCACGTGGACAACTACCGACAGCTGGTGGAATGGCAGCAGTATGCGCTGGCTTCGGCCATGTTTGCCCATGACAACGTGCTTCAGTTCAAGCATCCCCAAGAGGAGTTCCAATCGTTTTCACGCACTATGGCAAGACCATTTCTCACTACGGTGGACTTCGGATTGCACAAAACCATGGCTTTTGACATACATAACAAGGTAAACCAGCACGACGGACGCTCCCCGCAAATTCTTGGAACATCGGCGACTTTGTCAGTTGGCTTAGGCAGTGAGAGGTAGATCGACTAACCGTGGAAGCCGGAAGGCACAGAGCCTCAACATTTTCGCACTTGCAAGCCGTTCAATCCCTTGAGCTCAAAGACAGAGCCTACCTACAGTATATAGTTAAGGCCAAATAGTGCTGGCATTCCCTATACATTTTTCGTGCGGATTGAGGGGTTTCCAACTTTTGGGCTTCTACTGTAGTATCCTTCTTCGGTTTAACCAAACTCATCTTTAGGATCCTACATTACAAGGCAACCCTCAAAAAGAAAGTACACCGGAGACTATAGGAAATTTCCCTTAGTTCTTCAGATCTCACTCCTTCAATGCCCCAAACCTGCAACAAGCGTAGAGAGCCCAAAACTCCTCCCAACCCACCCTCCCGGAGCAGCAAACTCCCTCCCAGAGATCTTCAGCCCATGTGTGCCCTAAACCCTAAACCCTAAACCCTTTGTCAGTCTGGAAGCTTCACCTCAGAACTGCAAGGACGGGGAGCAGCGGGTTTGCGGGAGTGATTTGGGAGAATGCAGGGTTCGACATGAAACCCCAAATCCTGAACCTTAGAATCTTAGGCCCTGAACCTCAGAACAACCTCAACCCTAAACTCCAGACCCTAGACCACAGGCCGAGTTTAGCACGGGTGTGGAGCCCTAGATCCCTAAGTTCGAGGCGCTGATCAGTCTCACGAAGTCCGCCCGTCGGGTTTAGCGGTGAAGCCCACGAGCCCTATAGTCACGGTTTAGGGTATAGGGTTCTGGGTTTCTGGCCGTAGTCCGTAAGATTTTATAATCCTTGAGATTTTAAACGAAGAATATTTACTATTGTTGATATATATATATATATATACACATACATATTTAGTTTCATATGAACTGATGATCAAAGTCAGCTGAAAAATCAGGACTAGAGGTTCGATCCACCTGGCTGCACGGTTTGCTGAGTTCGTTTGGCTGTCCTGACCTGCGGATTTCTTGTTTGTGAATAGGGCTCAGAAAAGCACATAAGCAAAAATTAGGATAGGGATATCCCATATAAACCCCTTATAATGAAGCCCATTAAGGTAGTGATACCCCTATCGAATGCTTATGCTTATGTGCTTTTTTTGGCCTCTAAGTGAAGATCACCGGGCTCTGCGCGAGAATGTATACACAATCAGATTGTCCAGGCCTCCTCACAACATTAAGGCTTCCAGAGAATGTTCGTAGCAGGGTCGGGGTGCTGGAGGGCTGGATGTTTTAACTGGTAAATCATACTCGAATAGTCACAGTCCCCTTGTAATTCCGTTTAAGCCTACCCCCAAACCCTGTTCTAGGTCTTCCGTGATGTTGGTGCCGACCTCAGTCCCAAGACCCAAAACCTAACTCTACTACAGAACCCTGTTCTAAATAGTCCCAAACAGTCCGTTCTCTACTGTTGCGTAAAATTGTTGCACATCTCTGGTTTAGGGCAGCCCCCAATCGAATCCCTAGGGCCCCACGCCCTGAAGCGCCCGTTGCATTAATGCTCAAATATCATAAACACCGAGAGCTAACAGCCCGACAAACCCTACTAAAACCTCAGGGCATCGCATTCCCTAAGCCCTCAGCCCTAAACCTAAGCCCCAAGGAATACAACACTTTGACCTAGACCTCTGTGATCGAAGGAAGTGGCTCGGCATCGCCGAGTGTAGGTGGCATGTCCGCCGCCGCACCTTCTCGGGTCGCGAGCTCAGACTAAGGACCCAGACCTTCCAAAACCCATTAATTAACGAATATACCTTACATTAGAGTAGGATCCTTAATATGATTTAAGGTATATTCCTTAATTAAGGGGTTTTGGAAGGTCTGGGGAATTCGTGTTGGTTCAGGGTTTAGGGTTTAGGAGCTTTCATCGTGGGAGGAGGTTGCCTAGAGATTGTTTAAGGGGTGTTATAAGGATTCTATGCGGTTTAAAGGGTTTTATGAGAGGGGCCTTAATGTTTAGAACAGGGTTCGGGGGAGGTATATTCTTGGACCATGTGTTTGGAAACAATGGGGCCATAAAGGCATGAGTTATTGCATGAGGACCCCGGAATACCCTGAGTGGGTTTAGGTTACCCAAAAGGGTATGGCGACAACAGTTCGCGACGACTCCTCTTTCGGGCTGCGACTTTCGACAGCCCACTACCCGAAACCTTGCAAAGCATGAGCCTTAAAACCTGCATTCTACTTGGAGGGTCGGGGGACTTAGTAACTGGTTAATTGTAGGGACTTATAAGTACCATAACCCCAATTAGGGTCCCTTTTAGGGTACTTATACGTCTACTTACTACCTACTTGCTAAGTCCCCAGACCCTCCAAGTAGAGAATACTCTGAATGTTAGGTCCTGTAGCCCGCATGCTGCAGGCTTTGCCGGAACTCGGAGGATCCATATTCATTCAGTATTATGCCATTATGCTAGTAGTCATGATTTGTTGTAATCAGGTCCATACAGTATATATGAGCACAAGCTCGATACATTGGCCGCTTGGCCTGAAGCCTTCAGCATCGAATCCTCCGTCAGCTTGCCTCTACAGCCCTACACCCTAAACTCATTTTGCATGAAATGCCTAAGCCCGAACCCCAGCTTTAAGCCGATGTGCACAGAATGCATGAGGCAAGGATGATGATGGTGCAGCAGGCAGGATCAAGCTCTGCAGCTCAGGGTTCACTCGCACCCGCTTGTGTGAGATATGTATGGGGTATCTTGGGAATCAGGCGAATCGCTGTCGTCGTCGCCGTAATCGGCCTCACAATAGCAGTCAGTACTCATCATCGTCATCGCCGTCGTCAGAGTCATCGCCGTCACCCTTCTCATCACCACCATTTCCATCATCATCATCATCATCACCTTCATCATCGCAACCAGAATCAGCATCGCCGCTACCAGTATTCTCAATGTCCTCATAATCATCCTGCTCTTCTTCGCCGTCATTGTCATCAACATCGACATCGTCATCGACGAGCATGTGTGATTGTTGGGTTGCAGATGCTCAGCTGCAAATCGTCAATTACACGCGGCGCCGACATGCAAGCCAGCGACATGGTTAGCACGTAGAAGGTTTAGAGTTTCAACAGAAAGTTGGAATATGGTTTCAGGGTAGGATACCCTATAATTTACCATAAAGGGTTTAGGATAATCATATTCCAACTTTCTGGCTTTTACTGTACAAGGTTTAGGGTTGGAGCCTTCATGGAAGTCAGCTCGAGATATTGAGCGAATCGCTCAGCAAGGCTTCGTTTCCCAAAACAAAGTTTGGGTGTGGTGATGCCGCGGCTGAGTTTGTTGCGATCTCGACAACTAGGCTGGTGGTGTTTGTGCCAGAGCCCTAGACACTTAAAAGCCTTGACGGAACCGTGCACCCTTCTGGTACCCTTAACGGATGCATCTTTTGCCAACTCTAAACCCTAACAGGCAACCCTTGAGTCATAGGAGGCCAAAAGGGGTTTTAGCCTATGGGGGTTTAGTAGGGATTAGGGTTCTCATAATATAGGGTTCATAATGAGGAATCCCCACCCCAAGAATCTTAAACCCCCCCTTTTGGCCCCCCATCATTGAAGGAACCCTTTCAAGATGCCTTGAGGGAACCCTTCGAGGATTCCTCAAAGGAGCCCTTGAGAGGGGGGACCCTGCTGTACAACCTTATACTACTGTATCAGAACCCCATAGCACCCTTGACAGGCATCCTCAAAGATCCCTGAAAGGAAGTCTTTAAGAAGCTCTATGCTTCTTTTGCAACAGATGGCAGCAGGCGCAGAATTGGGATCAGCTCAAAGAGCTAATCGAGTGGCGCTGCCAGGTGGGCTGCTGGTTTTGGGGTTGTTAGGGTTTTAGGGTTTTAGGGCGGTGTTAGGGTAATGTAGGAACCCGATTAAGAAACCCTGGCCCTATAGCCCCCAGAATAGTAGGATTCATAAAAGGAGCCCTGATAAAGGCACAAGGTTTCGTAATCAGGTTCCTACATTAGTCGGGTTCGTGGTTCAGGGTTGGCGTTTCAGGTTCACGTGGCGAAGAGGAGAGTTGGGGTGATTCGGCATGCCCTGTATTTATAGAACAAGGGGTCTTGAAATGGCTATGAGGAACTCTTCAGTTTGTCGTGGGTGTCGGATATATTGGTATATAACCATATGCCCTGATAGTCTCTATAGTTTTTTGACATTATTCCTGCACCCAGAGTTGTGTGTGGTGAAGGGGTTGGTGTGTAGGTCCTTGCATTCTTCCTTCTCTGCTTAAAGGATCATGGGACTTAGTAACTAGGGTTATAATTAGGGTAACTATACCTATAACCCCAATTAAGGTACTTATAACCTTACTTACTAAGTCCCATGATCCTCCAAGTGATCTGCCATGTGCTCCTCGACGGCTTTCAGCAACCCGGGCTTCGAGAAATGTGGGTGACTTTGTTGTGGATCCTTCTCACCAGAGTCCCCTGCTGAAGGAATCTTGCTTAGGCTGCCTTTTTGCTTGAAACTCCTACAAGAAAAGCGCTTCAAACGCCAATGAGAGATGAGATGTTGTCTACGTAGCTGGAACCGCGGAAGGATTTCGGCCTTGTTCTAAACTGCCTACCCCTAAGCCCTAAACTGTCTACCTTTCTCGATGAGACTTCGTCTATCAAGCGTCGGATGGTTTAGGGAGGCTTCGGGGTCTGAGTACTTTTATCACTGAGTATGATTCCTTCGGGCTGCTATTAGGGTTTAGGGTTTAAGGGTTTAGTGTTTACGGGTTAAGGGCTTAAACAAGTTTAGGGCTTAGGCTAAGGGTTTAGGTATCACCATTCGGGTACGCTCGACCAGACTCTACCCTACAACCCTATTCCACTCATGAAGGCCCGAATAGTTTCCCCAAGCCAAACCCCCACCCCCTCCCCCGCCGAAGCCCCAAACCTTCTCTAATGGCCTTAACGTATTGGCTGCAAGCTCAACTTTTCAACTTTTGTGGTTCTTATAAGGTAGTCGATTCTGAAAGTTTCAACGTTTGTTTCCTGGGGTTTTGGGCCAGTGAGTTAATCTAAACCCCTAAACCCTAAACCCTAAACCCTAAACCCTAAACCGTTCCCACTCCGCAAGCCCTCATCCCCATAATGCCTCAACCCCAAGTCCTGAACCCTAAACATCCCTAAACCCCATCCCCTAATACCCTAAACCCAAATGGGTGGTTGTGAAAACTATGGTTCCTATTTGGGCACCCTAAGTATTAGTATATTAGGGACCCAAAGAGGAACCATAATTTCGACAACCACGCAAATCTAAAACATGTGGCTACTGCAGGTCACCGATGACTTGCGCAGCTGCTCGGACGGATTTGGAGCTCAGGGACTCCATTTTGTACGGGTTTGGGCATCAGGGGTTTAGTGTTAGGGGTTTGGGGTTTAGGGATTTTGGGGTTTAGGTGCGGGAGTTTCAGACAAAATTTGGGCCTCATTTAAGGTTCCTTATGTTCCATATTTGGGTTTCCTCATTTCACTATTGTTAGGCCCCCATCCAGCGAAGTTGTTTTCTGGATGTCAGAGTCATGGCTTTGGTGTTTAGAGGAGAATACTGGGCCTCTTGAGATTTGGAAGTTTCCGAAAATTAGGGGTACTTCATTTTGGGGCCGTTATAAAAAGGGTCCTACTATTTAGGGTACTATATTACTATCCCTCCCCTAGTGTCGGAGACTCCCATATGTGAGAATGCAGAACTTGGGGTTTAGAGCTCAGGACTTGGCTTTTTGGGGTTCTGGGGGTTGTTTATGCAGCAGGGGCAAAGGGATCCCGGTAAGCACATCTGCAGCCAATAGGCAATATGAGCACGTTTTCAAGATTCCGCCCAAACCCTAAACCGTAAGTACACCAGCCCTAAATCCTAGAAGCCCGATAAGTTGGAAATGTTGGGTACCACATCTTTGTGCTAGCAAGTGGATGCCCTCCTCCCGTGCAGTTTGGTACCCTGCTATGATCCCCTCGTCCTCCAGCACTACATCCTTGTGGAGCTCCATGTTGTTGTGCTTTGGTATTGGTGGAGAGTGGAAATGGAAGCCCTCTCACCTGGCATCTTGGTGGCCTACTATGTGGACATCTTTCTGCTCTATGCGACCTACTGCATGGGACTGTCTGTGTATGTCCTCCTCTGCCTGGCCTATGTCATGCTGCTGTACATCGTGGCAACTGTCCTCCTGTCGTGCTTGGCCTACCCTGTGGATCCCTGTGGGTCCTTGCTCTTCGGTGGCAACGTTGGGGACATTGTGGGCTCCCTGCTCTTCCTGGTCGGGGACTGTTGTGTTGCCGTGGGTGACCTTCGTGTGTTGCCTGGTCGATGAGCCCGTGCCCTTCGTGAATGAATGAAAGACATCGTCAATGTGAACTTACCTGAACTTTGTGTACCTCCAGCCCGATCCCGAGTACCGGATTCTGTTCAAGGATGACTACATCGTCAAGTTGTCTCACCTGTGTGTGCCTGTATAGGCAGGCCTAGGTCGCAGACTCTGGTCATCACACATTAAAAAAAGAAGCCCGATAAGCCCGGATGGACTTACCTTAAGGACGAAATGAACCCTAAAAGGGTTTAAGATTCATATACCATATAGGGATTCATAGTATATGGGTATAGGGCCCCTACTTTTAAGGGTCATTTCGTCCTTCAGGTAGGTTCTTTTATCTACATAGTTGTTCAGCAAGCCGCCTTCAATGCTCCTGGTGTGTTGAAGGCTTTAGAGTCCTGTTATTTGTACCTTTTCGGGGTCTGGTGGGTTTTGGGCCCCCTTAAAGGGATCTATAGGGTTCCTTAAACGGATCTATGGGGCCTAAACAAGTAGAATCGGGTTTACAGTAGAAGCCCAAAAGTTGGAAACCCAATAGCCTCAACCCTTAAGAGTGATGTACAGGGAATTCCAGCACTATTTGGCTTTAGTCCGGTTTCCAACTTTATGGGGTTTACTGTAAGGCGTTCAAGGCAGGTTCAGGGTCTTGAGTTAAGGGCGTTCGGCTTTGGCTGCAGGCTTCGGGGTTCAGGGCATGTCCTACAGGGGCGTGTGGGTTTGTGGTAGGGGAGTTTCCGAAAATTGGGGTTACCTTGTTTTGGGATCCTTATGGTACGGATCATATTATTTAGGGTAATTACTATATTGGGGTCTCCTATTTTCGGAAACTCCCATAGACCTGACCCAAACCCTAAACTCCAAACCCTAATCCCTAAACTCTAATCGGAAACTCCCAGGACCTGTCTGCTTCAGAACAACCCCGCGGAGTAAGATGGCAGCCTGAATACTAAACCTGCGGAGTAAGATGGCAGCCTGAATACTCATACTTAGTTCCTTAGGGCCTTAGGGCCTTAGGATTAGGGTTTCGGGTTTAGGGTTCTGAGCACTTAGTTCTTTAGGGTTCCGAATCATGACTTTAATTAGTTTCTAAGTATACGCACCTAAAGCCCAATTCTAATGATAAAGGCCCCCGCCTGGCTTTGAACCGACAGCCAAGAACTCTCCCGAGTGGGGCGCATCATGGAGGACGTGGCCGTTGCAGATACCTTGGAAAATAGTGTTTCCATATATTCCATATGTCAAACTAGTACACTATTCCCGCCGTTGCAGGTATTGCAGAAAAGAGTATTCCCATATACTCCATATGTCAGACTAGCTATTCCCAATTTTTCAGGGCTCCTGAATACAATTAGACTAGAGTTGAGCACTTGACGATTATTGTCTTGTTATTGTTATTCTTGTTGTTGTTGTTGTCGTCGTCGTTGTTGTTTTGCTGTTTCTGCTTTGGTGGTTTCTTCAGTGAGGTTGTAGACTCTGAGGTTTTCAAGGATTTGTAGGTTCTGGGTTCATAGTCGTTCGCAGAGTCTCAGCGACAGTTAGGACGTTTTTGAATGGCAAGGTTTAAAAGGGCCGGCATTAACTTTATTCATAGAGCTGAGACTGTGTGCTGTACTCTTTCTTTGTCATAGAACCTTCCAAGCCACAGGAGCTGTGTGGCTTGCACCCTCGCAGTTAAAGATAATTAGTATGGGCTCCCAGCCATCAGAGCATCCGCCAGACTCTATTTTGTCGCTCGTCTGCCTAAGGCAGCAGCTGTAAGCATAAAGGTCCGATGGCGCCCACCAGAAAGAGCGAGAAGCACGAAATCCGTGTTTGGTTGGCCTGGTGTTTCGAGCATTGCTTGAAGCACGAGCAAGACCATACCCTAAACCCTAAACCCTAAACCCTAAACCCTAAACCCTAAACCCTAAACCCTAAACCCTAAACCCTTAAACCCTAAACCCTAAACCCTAAACCCTTAAACCGTGTACAGAGCTGAAGCATTGTGCGGCCTCGACTCCCGGATGAAAGTTTGTATGTCACAAGAAATCCAAAGATTTTCTTCGCTGGATGGAAAACAGAAAGCAATGCATGCTGCTTATCGTAGACTGGAGAGAAGCAAAGCCGATCATGGAGGAAGTCTGCAAGAGAGGCGAAAGCCATGGCCTCCACCTCTGTGTAGTTACACAAACGGAGGCGGCATTTCACCGCGCATCTCGCTGGGCAGGCAAGCAGGGCACAGGTGAAGAAATCTTGGTGACGTTGGGCTTCTCGCGCGCAGCCACGAGAACCTTCATCGCTCGCCACACACAGACCATGCAAGAGCAATTGAAGCATGAAGTGTTGCCTGTCGTGCCGGTGCCCGTGCATCCCAAGATCATGGATGAATGTTCCCTCTTGTCGCTGCCACACCTTCTGAACGCGGTTCGTGACCCCGGTCAGGCTTGTAGACTTGAGGAGCTTATCCAAAACACCATGTGGCAAGTCTACGAAGATTGATCCCTAGTGAAGACGAGAGGTCGGTTGAATTGGAAAACCGTGCCTGCTGGTCCTTCGGAAAGTCACGTAATGTAGGGGCCTTAATAGTTAAGATATTGTTTTGGGGGTTCCTTATTATAATTGTAGTATACTATACACCCCAAAACCCTATTCTAGTTAATAAGGCCCCTATAGTATGCACATGAATTGTGACTTGTTTTTTCTGTTTCATGATGCACAGTTGGCGAAATTGGCGCAAGATGCGTCTGCAGCCCTTCAGGCCCTTTTTTTGCCGCGGCCCCCTTCGGGGCACAACCTCCCTCAGCTCTTGTGAGTTAAGTTTACATTCGGCACTTCTGTATGCCCGGCATGTATAGCATCGGTGTTCGCCCTGCGCAGTTGGTGTAATCTCTCGTGCATGGGTCTGAAGGTTGCACCGGCGTATGCGAGGATTGAAAATTGACCAACACGGGCCGCTATTATGAGCGGAGATTGTCAGTGGTCACCAGCTACCATCCTGTCACATTTAGCTGTAATGTGCATCCTGCTTGTCATCGTTATATTGGATATGCCCATGCTGCTGATTCCTAGGCTCGGGCTACCTGCAATGCTGAACAACACAGCAACGGTGCACGCAGCAGCAAGCAAGAGTGCCCTTCAACTTCCGCATGATTCGCATCTGTTCTGGGGCAGCAGTGTACTCTCGGGGCCTAAATCGTCACTTATACTAGTTTGGGGGTTCCTCATGATATTTATAGCATAATATACACCAAAACCCTATTCTAATGATTAAGGGCTCTATATCAGGGTATTGCCCTAGAGTCTTTTGATCCGTGTTGCGTTCTGCAGGTAAGGGTGGCGAAGTGGCAACGTGATCCGGGCCAGAGTAGGGCTCAGCGCCAGCATTAACCCGGAAGGTCCATACATACTATTTTTGGATCATATAATTGGTAGTTTTATTGTTCTTCCTATTGTTATTCTTATGAAATTAGGTTCCCAAGGCAATGAGACGGATGGTCTTTTCCGTACTGACAATGTATGTGGACTCTTTCGGTAATTGCTTTGTCACAGCCAGCCCTTGCCCGCTTCAGCGCCACGCTCGCTTAATGCAGATGCGCGAAGCAAGATGACAATGCCCTGTATGGAGTATGGTTTGTATTACTAGTATACTCACCAATATTTAGCAGGAGCCCTATCTACACTCACCAAAACGGTAATACAAACCCCACTTCATATCAGTATGGACTTATTGACCCACCTCAACATCCCAAACCCTAAACCCTAAACCCTAAACCCTAAAGCCTAAGCCCCAAACCCTAAACCCTAAACCCTAAACCCTAAAGCCTAAACCCCAAACCCTACATAAGCCCGCAACCTTGAGCCCCAAAATGCAAACCCGAAAGGCAGACCCCAAACCCTAACTTTATACAGCCTTATAGGGCCCTGAGAAAAAAAAGAAAAAGAACCAATGCAGGCAATTTTGAAGGAAGTTTTACCTGGACCCCAAAAAGTATGTAGAATAAGAGCCTTGTGTGGGTGTTGGGCCATTCTTTTACCTACTTTGGGGGGTTTTAGGTAAGATCCTTAAACCCTATAGATCCCTTTAAGGAACCCCTATAGATCCCATTAAGGAGCCCTTTTCAGGAACCGACTTACTTCTAAGATCCTTCGAAGAGGACCGGCTCGAGGCTTTTGACCTCGTCGAGCGGCGAACAGAGGAGGTGGCAGAGAAGGTGCAGGCCGGCCTGCCTCGTGTTTGGTTTAGGGTCTAGGGTCTAGATCCATGATCCGGCTACCTCGTGTTTTTAGGGTCCTATGATGAATAGAATAGGGTTCCTTTAAAAGGGTCTATAAGGGTACTATAATATAGGCGCCTAAGGTGTTTGGTTTAGGGTTTAGTTTAAGGTTTAGAGTTCAATGGTTCGAGCTTTGGGTTGCGGTGTTCAATGCGGCTTTAATTGAGGGTTTACGGCTTTCTTTGTGGTGTTCCAGAGGGACTCTACAAAGGTTGTGGATTTAGGGTTCTGTTTCGGGGTTTAGACTTTCCACACGGTTCGACAAGGGGCTATAGGGCTCGGGGTTATGAGCGTTTCTTTGACGGTGGGGGTTCTTCAGTCGAGGGGTTCTCCAGGCGGTGTGAAGGGGTCTTTTGTAGGGCTTTCGTAGTTTATCTTGCACGGCTCGAACACTGCGTGGGGCTACAGGATTCAGGCTTCGCGATGCAGGGATCAGGATGTAGAGTTGCGTGCTTTGAGGTTCAGGATTGTGCAGACAAATCTCCAGATCCCGGAAGCACAGGGTGTAGGCTTCCTGTTGATTTTAGTCTTCCTAGGTTTTTTTTGATTTTGGTGCGTATAAAACCCCAGAGAATATTAAACATATTGTTTTTATTATCGTTCTAAGGGGGGCATCGTTGACACTACTTTGGTGTCATACAACAGGCAGTGCAAGCTTCATCGGCCGTCGGCCGTTTACCCTCTCACAAGACGTCGAAAGAGGTCTCTTCACGGTTGAGGATTTGGCGTACTCCTCAAGTACTCTCTGGCAGAGAGCCCAAGGATCTGCAGAAGCGCGTCGCCACTCAGCGATGATGTTACTGAAAAGGTCGCTGCCACTTGCTACGAGTGTTTGTTGTTGTTGTTGCTGAAGCAAATGCTGTTGTTCGTTATTCCATAGAAGAATATACCCGGAAACCCCTACCCCGACCACACTCTATTAGGCAAATCTCCGTCGATCACCGCCTTCTTCAACACGAACCCTGCCCCGGCAAACCTCAACTCTCAAGGCTTACCTGAACCCAAAGACACCTACATTTGTAGGGCTCCTCGTTATGATTGGTGTTTTTTGGGGTTTCTGGTAGGGTTTGGGGCAGCTTAGAGTCCTGAAACAGTCGTTGTGGTGTTCCCTTTGCGGTTCCCTGGCTTATGTGCGGCAGCAAACTTCCTATAACACCTCATCTAATCCTTTAGGTCAGTCACAAAAGGTATTATGCTTGGATTTTTAAGCATTTAAGGTTCTCTCGGGGTAATGGACTCGCACCTGAACTCCCCTTGATGGTTTATTGCACATTCGGGGTTCCTTTTGGCTCACAATCAGGATCCCACCGCTTAGGGTTCTAAATCAGGGTTCTCCAATGGTCTGAACCTCACACCCGATGAAGCGCCCGACTTCCGCAGAAGCGCCACGCGCAATCTCGCCAGGCATAAAACGTCATGGTTTAACCCCGGGTGAGTGGCAGTATAAATGAGACTGTAGCACTTTGACAGCACAGAAAACATGACAGCAAAGCACACACCTCAACCCTAAGCAATCTCAACCCTAAGCCCCATGGAATCCATTCCGCCCTGAAAATGAATGTTCCGCACGCCTGGCTTGCTTGCATAGCATGTCCCAAAGGGTCCTATGCACTGTTATGGGGGCTACCTCCCGAGGTCATAATAGTAATTCCGAATATGGAAACCCTACATTCTCCTACATCGCAGGAATACAGTAGCTTAGTCCCGCGAGGCTTTGGACTCCGACATGGAGAATGCAAGGCCTGTTTGGGCTTTGTTTCTGCCAGTTGGTGTGACTCACTTGGGAGTTTCCAAAAAAAAAGTGAGTGCCTCATTTTGGGGTCACTCAGGGTGCTATATGAGGGTACCCTATTTTCGGAAACTCGCACTTCAGTTATTCCCTTGAACAAGCTACAACCGAGAAGTCTTACTTGGACCGCACCAGCATAGATGTCAATGCGTGTTTCATCGTGCTCATTTGCTATGAGTGCCGATGCCCTGATCGCCATTGCGTTTGTTATGTCTGATGTAGTGATGAATGCTGATGCTCAGATTGGCCCCTGTGTAACCTTATTGTTTCAAGAAGAGGGAGATGATAAAGCTGTGAAGATTGGCCAGTCTTGTCAGGGCACGCCAGACAGCTCGACCACCAGCACCAGAACCAACGACAACAGCAGCAGCAGCAGCAGCAGCAATGGCAACAGCATCCGCTGTAGCAACAGCGCCGGCAGCAGCAGCAACAACAGCAGCAGCAGCAACAACAACAACACAACGACCTCTACCACTGTCACCACCACGACCAGCACTCACAGCAATGTCGGCAACAACTGTAAGAAGATCATCGACAGCATCAGCAGCGATCAAAACAAACCAACTGGTCCTGAAGTCAACAGCAACAGCAGCAGCAGCAACAGCAGCAGCAACAGCAACAACAACAACAACAGATCAACGACGAAATACACCCGACGACTAGGCATAGCAGCATCGTCCTGGAATCACCTTGGTCAGTTGCAATGCAGCAGGAACAAGCACAACAGCCGCCACAGCACAGTTACCAGTAACGACGACAACCGCAGTAGCATCAGCGATAGCTGCAAACAGCAACGACAACGATGTCAGCAGTACCATCATCGGCAGCCGCTGCCGCAACCTTAACCACAACGCACAACCCCAGCATGGCAACAGCAGGAGCAGAAGCGACAGCAAAGATGACAGAACTCGTGGCAGGTTTGCAATCACAGCAACAGCAGTAGTGTCGATGTATTATGGACTGTGCCGGATCCATTGGCAGCCGGACTGGCCGCGGCTCACGCCGAAAATCCCCACAGCAAGAACAAAAACAACACAGTGGACATTCGATAACCAGTCAACTATGCAAAAGTTCCAAACCAGTGCCTGTAACGCAGAAGAGCTGTAGGAGCTTCAGTGGCATCAGTGCTACTGACTGCCATAATCGCAACTTGCAAACCAGTAACAGGTTCATCAGTGGAGTAGACATCGGAAGCGTTTAGGGTACCAGGTTCATCGGTGGAGAAAGGCAGGAACGACTAGTGACCAGTCGACAAGAGCCTGCTTTAATTGCTTGGTCTGCCCGAAACCCGATGGCCTTATACACTCATATAAGCCGGCAGATCCTAAACCCGAGTATCCTGAAGGACGAAATGACCCTTAAAAGTAGGGGCCCTATACCCATATACTATGAATCCCTATATGGTATATGAACCTTAAACCCTTTTAGGGTTCATTTCGTCCTTAAGGATATAGAACCCCAAACCTTGGAACCCGAAACCCAAAGCCTCAGACACTAAACGCTACGCTCAGGAGCCGCAGCGCCTCGCCCCCACGGGTCGCCATGCGCCTGAGGTTCGCTTTTGGGATAGCAGAACTTCCGAGTGAACGCGTTATGGGGCTTTAAAAAACCCTAAACCCTAAACCCCAAACCCCAAAACCCTAACCCCTAACCCCTAAACCCTAAACCCCTAAACCCTAAACCCTAAACCCTAAACCCCTAAACTAAAGCTGGTGATGCCTGTCGCGACGTCTAGGAGCCTATGGCATCGCCAGCGCACGTGCGCTGAGCACCGGCATCCGTGTCAAGAACGGATGCTTACCGCCTGCAGCTTGAGCGCGAAGAGTTAGCTTCGTGCTCCGTACCCGCATTCGTTCACTTCGGAGGGTGCATTACGCTTCAAGCGTAGAAATAAATAATAGTATATTTTATTACCCTAAACCCTAGGGTCGGGATCCTAAATGGCTTCGGAGGGCCGTACCGACGGCCGGTTCGAGCGACCGCATTTCGGACGGTCCGTGTGCACTCCCTGTACGCACCAAGTGCACGTACGGACGGGCGGCCGCATCTCGGACAACCAGCAGACTGGACCCCACTGCCCGTACGGACGGCCGGTTTGGCAGCCAACTGCCCGTACGGACGGCGCCGCGTGCACTCACCGCCAAGAGCAGCCACATGAAAAGAAAGGAGGGGACCTCGAGATTGGCGCCGTGCCTAGGTCAAAATGCACATTTTATGAAAAGAAAAGACAACTCCAAAATCAGTTGCAGTTTTCCAGATTTCCGAAACGCAGCACCTGCCCGTACGGACGGCGGCCCCTTGTCTTTGCCTCCTTAATGAAGGAGACCACCCTTGCCCGTACGGACGGCCCCCATTGCCCGTACGGACGGCACTGGACCCAACTGTCCGTACGGACGGCCGGGTTCGGCAGCCAACTGCCTGTACGGACGGCTCCGCGTGCAAGAGGACCCCCTGCCCGTACGGACGGCCGGTTCGGGCGGCCCCCACTGCCCGTACAGACGGCGCTCCCTTATTTTTGCTTTCTTAATGAAGGAGACCACCACTGCCCGTACGGACGGCCGGTTCGGGCGGCCCCCACTGCCCGTACGGACGGCGGTCCCTTAGCTTTGCTTATTGACGGAGACCACCACTGCCCGTACGGACGGCCGGTTCGGGCGGCCCCCACTGCCCGTACGGACGGCGGTCCCTTATCTTTGCCTTCTTAATGAAGGAGACCACCACTGCCCGTACGGACGGCCGGTTCGGGCGGCCCCCACTGCCCGTACGGACGGCGCCGTGCGGACGGCGCTCCCCTATCTTTGCCTTTACTATGAACGAAATACTTTACGTCCAATTGGATCCATACCTTATCTTTGCCTTCTTAATGAAGGAGGACCCCACTGCCTGTACGGACGGCCGATTCGGGCGGCCCCCACTGCCCGTACGGACGGCGCTCCCCTATCTTTGCCTTCTTAATGAAGGAGGACCCCACTGTCCGTACGGACGGCTGGTTCGGGCGGCCCCCTGCCCGTACGGACGGCGGTCCCTTATCTCTGCCTCCTTAATGAAGGAGACCACCCTTGCCCGTATGGACGGCCGGTTCGGGCGGCCCCCACTGCCCGTACGGACGGCGCCGTGCGGACGGCGCTCCCCTATCTTTGCCTTCTTAATGAATGAGACACCTTACGTCCAATTGGGGCCCATACTTTATCTTTGCTTTCTTAATGAAGGAGGACCCCGCTCCCTTATCTTTGCCTTCTTAATGAAGGAGACCAATACTGCCCGTACGGACGGCCCCCACTGCCCGTACGGACGGCTCCGTGCGGATGGCGCTGTGCGGACGGCGCTCCCCTATCTTTGCTTTCTTAATGAAAGAGACACTTGGTCCAATTTGGGCCCATACCTTATCTTTGCCTTCTTAATGAAGGAGGACCCCACTGTCCGTATGGACGGCCGGTTCGGGCCGCCCCCACTGCCCGTACGGACGGTGGTCCCCTATCTTTGCCTTCTTAATGAAGGAGGGGCCCCCTGCCCGTACGGACGGCGGTCCCTTATCTTTGCTTCTTGATGAAGGAGACCACCCTTGCCCGTATGGACGGCCGGTTCGGGCGGCCTCCACTGCCCGTACGGACGGCGCCGTGCGGACGGCGCTCCCCTATCTTTGCCTTCTTAATGAAGGAGACACCTTACGTCCAATTGGGGCCCATACCTTATCTTTGCCTTCTTAATGAAGGAGGACCCCGCTCCCTTATCTTTGCCTTCTTAATGAAGGAGACCACCACTGCCTGTACGGACGGCCCCCACTGCCCGTACGGACGGCGCCGTGCGGACGGCGCTCCCTTATCTTTGCGTTCTTAATGAAGGAAACACCTTACGTCCTATTGGGGCCCATACCTTATCTTTGCCTTCTTAATGAAGGAGGACCTCATTGCCTGTCTAAAGCTGGTGATGCCTGTCGCGACGTCTAGGAGCCTATGGCATCACCAGCGCACGTGCGCTGAGCACCGGCATCCGTGTCAATAACGGATGCTTACTGCCTGCAGCTTGAGCGCGAAGAGTTAGCTTCGTGCTCCGTACCCGCATTCGTTCACTTCGGAGGGTGCATTTACGCTTCCAGCGTGCAAATAAATAATAGTATATTGTAATACCCTAAACCCTAGGGTCGGGATCCTAATTGGCTTGTGAAGTTTTGAAGCTGGACTCTACTGTCCGTACGGACGGCGCCGCGCATGCTCCCTGGCAGCTCACAGGCTGGCCCCATCTGCTGGCTGGACCCCACCGGACGGCCGGTTCGGGCGGCCGTGGGCTCACTTCTACGCACCAAGTGCCCGTGCGGACGGCCAGGCAGCCACCTGCCCGTACGGACGGCAGAGCAGCTACATGAAAAGAAAGAAGGGGACCTCGACATTGGCGCCTGGCCTAAGCTAAAATACACATTTTATGAAAAGAATTTAGTACTCCAACATCAGCCACAATTTTCCAAATTTCCGAAAGGCAGCCAGCTGCCCGTGCAGACGGCTTCCTTGCCAGCTCTCGCAGGCTGGCCCCATCTGCAGGCTGGACCCACTGCCCGTGCGGACGGCCGGTTGGGCGGTGCGTGTGCCTCCCTGTACGCACCAAGTGCCCGTACGGACGGCAGGTTCGGGCGCACTCCCTGTACGCACCAAGTGCCCGTACGAACGGCCGGTTCGGGCAGCCGCATCTCGGACAACCCGCAGACTGGACCCGTCCGTACGGACGGCCGGTTTGGCAGCCAACTGCCCGTACGGACGGCGGCGCGTGCGAGAGGACCCCACTGCCCGTACGGACGGCCGGTTCGGGCGGCCTTCACTGCCCGTACGGACGGCACTGGACCCCACTGTCCGTACGGACGGCCCGTTTGGCAGCCACCTGCCCGTACGGACGGCGGCGCGTGCAGGAAGACCCCACTGCCCGTACGGACGGCCGGTTCGGGCGGCTCCGACTGCCCGTACCAACGGCGCCATTGTACTCCCTGAAGGGTCGCAGGCTGGACCCCACTGCCCGTACGGACAGCCGGAACTGCCCGTGCGGACGGCGCCCTGCGCTCCACCAAACATTCAGTACCGCTGTGAACGCCCCCCCGACGAAAGCCTAGAGCAAGACCTTAAACGTTAAGGGAAAACGTTGTACGTCGTCCAAACCCCATAAGAAAAACCCTAAACCCTAACAGATTCAATGTCTGGGTGGTCTTGGGGTGGGATGTCGCGTCCAGCTCGGCGCGCCGCCCCGCGACCCTCTGGGTCGAGGCGCGCCGCTTACTGTGGGAAACCCTAAACCCTAAACCCTAAACCCTAAACCCTAACCCCTAAACCCTAAACCCTAAACCCTAACCCCTAAACCCTAACCCCTAAACCCTAAACCCTAACCCCTAACCCCTAAACCCTAAACCCTAAACCGTGGCTTAAGGGTTTAGGGGCCTGTAGGGTTTCTTTTAAAGGGGTCTAGAAGGGCTAGTAGAAGGATTTAGTAGAGCGGCCGTAATAATTACCACACTATTTTTGGGGGCTCCTTACATAATTTGCAGTCTGATGGGCCCCAATTAAAACCCTTTTCTAATTTTTGAGGCCCTTCTAGTAAGGGTTTAGTGCCTTTAGGGTTTGGTCGCGCTCCGACATCATGCCGAAACTGGTACCTGACTGTCGTGTACTTAAAGGATCATGGGACTTAGTAACTAGGGTTATAATTAGGGTAACTATACTTATAACCCCAATTAAGGTATTTATATCCTTACTTACTAAGTCCCATGATCCTCCAAGTTTCCTGCGTCGAGTTGCTTGCCTTTTCAGTGCTGTCCGGAACCCTCTACCGAAAGCCATGAAACAAGAGCTTCACAGCTTTGTATGCCCTTCAATACCCACTGGCCAATGAGACTCCACAAACAATCCTAAACTCTAAAATCATGAAACCCGATAAATAATGTCAAACTTACAAAAACCGGAACTTTTTCAGGCCGGAGGAGAACCCTGATCTCACGCTAGCGGGCAAGGGCCATGCGGCTAGCAGGGTTCCGTGACTGCAAGAACGCGTTTCTGGCTTCGGGTCTACATTGTTGCAGATTTGTACTGTTGGTGATGTGCGCAACTGCGCCATTGTGATTTTGTGCCTTCTTCATCGCATCTTGGAAGGCATATAGGTATAGCAGGCATTTGATTTCAGCCTTGGTGCTGCATTCACCATCATGCAACTTCGTAAGCGTACTATCAAGCCTGTCCCTCGCTGCATTGTGCCAGTCGCACCGCTTGATGACTTCTCTATCGGCACATGATTGTACAAATTGTTGAGCTGATATATATATATATATATATATATATTGTTTTTCTTGGCAGCTTCAATACTAAGAATCACTGCTGCTCGATATCACATGTTGATATTCCGATACTGGTGTAGTACTTTGTCACCCTCCTCTTATCTTCCCACCTCCACTCACAAGTGAGTGGCCGTCATAGCGAACATAGTAGGACCGGTTAGAGTTTACAGCGTGAGGGCTCATACTGTTGAGGGTGTAAGTGTCCTCTTTGGGCTCGTGAACGTTTAGGTCGCGGGAGTTACAGACATGGCCTCTTGGCTGAATGTTCGTGATGCTCTGATTTCCCACGCTCACAATATTTCATGTCCCACAGAACCGACAGCCCACCACCATCCTTTAGGACCAGGTAGTGTTGGGCACGTTCATGTCGCTGGGCATGAACAGTGGTCCCCGAACCCTTCGTTGTGGCTTAGGCTTTAGTGAAGCTTCTCCAAAGCCCTCCCGCAACGCCAAAAACCCAGAGAGCCCAATACCCCTTAATTAAGCAATATACCTTAAATCATAAGGGGCTTCATATTATGGTTTAAGCCATATTTCTTAATTAAGGGGTATTGGGCTCTTTCTGGGTAACCGAACCTTCAACCCTCTCGCAAGCGCTCTCAGGAATGCAAAGCCCTTGCGACCTAAGGCGCAAAGCTACAGACCCCAACCCTTACAGCCTTACAGCGGCGAGACTCGCAAGCGCTCTCAGGAATGCAAAGCCCTTGCGACCTAAGGCGCAAAGCTACAGACCCCAACCCTTACAGCCTTACAGCCGCGAGACTCTTGACCCAAAGACCCTAAGCCTTATATAGCTATTATATACCCATTATATAGCCCATTATAGGGTAGGGGTCCCCATTAAGGGCCCCTCCTTTTCCCCTTTGAGTGTAAAGACTCGCACGGCTCTAAAGGTCGAGAAGCCACCAAGCCGCATTGCCAGCCCCAATTTCGAAGGCGGACGGTTCGGGTTAGGGTTTGGGGTTTAGGGTTTAAGGCTTGACCAGGGTTTTACAACTTCTGAGTTTGGGGGCTTCAGGATTTTAGGGCGGAATTTTGCACTTTACAGGCTTGTGAAACAATGCCTTGTATGGGTTTTGGACTCCGCACGTTGATTGGCGTGCCACCTGGCCTCGTTGCACCATCTGCAGCCCGGTCGACATGTTGGCGAAGAGACGGTGGCCATGGACGGGAATTAGGGTTTGGTTTAGGGTTGCCTAAACCCTAAACCCTAGTTCTTCCGGGCAGACTACCTTAAATCATAACAGGCTTCATATTATGATTTAAGCCATATTCCTTAATTCAGGGGTATGGGCTTTCTGGGTTAAGCTCTTTTTTTAGCTGTACTAGTCGGGAAGTGTTCGCTCGCTTCTTTCGGGTGTGGCATGGGGGAAAGCACTTGCCCTGATTCACCCTCGCACCGAAATCAGTCAGGAACTGCCCCAGCGAACCCCAGAAATTCCAAGCCGAGCTGGTATAACAAAGCTCCAAGAGCTGGTTATGCAAAAGGTCCGCAACATAAATATCTGACCGTTCATATATAACGACTACGTACACCAAAATATACGTACCAAGACCCTAGTCTAGTCACGAAGGGCGAGGCATTTATTTCAATCACCCCTTCTCGAGGCTAGACCTTCTACCTTCTAAAAAAACGGCTTGCGAACACCTGCCGTCCGGTCGGTAAGAAACGTTTAGGGCAAGCGAAGTCTGGGCTAGCACATAGTGGATGACCGCTTCTGGTGGAGGGCCCTCTAAGTTCGTTTTTGACGCTTTGGATGTTGGTTCAAGGTTTTCGCAGGTTCCACAGAAGGATCACGGTGCTCGAATCTTCTGTAACTGGATATGATGTATGGTACAGTAGTGGCATCCAGGTCTGAGTATCTGGCTCTGTGGCATGTTTACTTTGCCTGTCGCTTTAATTTAGCAGTGGTGGTTGTGCTGGGTTTGTGACTGCTGGTTGGGTTGTGTGTGGGGTGGGTGGGGAGTTGGTGTGGGTTGTTGGGGTCGGTGGTGGGTGGGTGGTGGGTGGGTTGGTGGGTATGAGTGGTGTGTGGGTCGGTGGGTTGGTGGTGGGTGGGTTTAGCCTTTCCAAAGCCCCAAGCCCGAAACCCGAAAACCTGAAACCCTAAACCCCAAACCCTAAACCCTAAACCCCAGCCCGACAGCTTCGTGAGCAGTTCCCTGCCTGAAGGGACGGGATGGGCCAGAGCCTTGCCACGACGGCCCTACTCTGCAGGATCTTCACGAGGTGGATGCCTGAGTAAGTCTTTGAGTGAGTATGAACATAGTTTGGGCTTAGGGTTTGGAATTTGAAACATGAAAAAGCATGTCAGTCCTGGCGGTGGCGCTGTGTAGCTCTGTTCTCGCAACCGTGGCTGCTGCTGCTGTTCCCATTGTTCCTCGTGCTGCTGATCTTCTGGGCGGCACGATCTTCCATTTCTTTATGATTATCTTGAGCTCTCCCTGATGTGGGCTGCGAAGATGACACTCAGAATTATGATGTCGATGGTTATGATGATGATGATGAGGACGATGAGGGGGAGGGGTGGGAGGATGAGGATGACGGCTATGATGATGGTGATGGTCACGATGATGGTGATGCTGCTGACGATGATGCCGATGATGAACATGATGTTGATGATGATGAGGAGGAGACCGGTCATGGCGATAGGACGAATTTATGCATCGTGATGAATCCTTCTGCTGGTGCCACGACCGGTGGTGATATGACGATGATGACGTTGAGCAACACGAATGACCATGGTAGAAAGCGACGGTGGGCCGCCCGCACGTGATCTATCTGTTATGCAATGGCAACAGATTATCCCGCAGCCTGCTAGGCGCCAATTGTCCCACATCCCTCCTCACTTTGCCCTACATAGCGAGCGCGACAGTAGTTGTTGCAGCAGCTCGTTCATCCTTGAAGCATTTGCTAGAGGCTTGGACGCACCCAACCGTGGTGGCCGGCAGTGAGCATGTAGATCCCGAACATGTCACGTTCTGTAGCATGCGCATTTAACTCTACCTCTCATGCTGCCGCGCGCCATAAGGGGACGCCGCCGACAAGCAATTAAATTCAAGCCGTGGTTTTAGGGTTTAGGGTTTGCATGCGGTTTTGCGAAGGTGCCGACACGCCTCAATTGCAACAACTGAGGCACGGAGTTTTGCAGCTGCATGGGGAAGTTGAGTGCATGGCAGATATATATATATATATATATATATATGTATATGGCAATAATTAATATATATATATATATATATATATATATATATATTAAAGTAAACGCTCCGGAGATTAATTTTAAAACCAAGGTTACCAACCCTGATCTGCGCACCCTGTACGCCTGTCCCCACAACCTGTAGCCCTGAACCCCTTGATGCGGTTCAATTGCGGCAGGGATTTGGAACACCAAAATCCTAAACCCCGAACCCTAAACCCTTAAATCCAAGACCCCAAACCCTGAGCCCTAGCTCCCAATCCCCAAGCCCTAAACCCTCAACTCTTCAGCCCGATGCTACGGAGTACGACGCGTCGGCGATCCCTATAGGTGGTCCACCACTTTACCGAGTTCTGGCAGGTTCATATAGGGTTTGGCGTATAGGGCTGAGGGATACTGAGTAGTCATTAATAGGTCATGCTGTAATCTAGACTGCAAAACACACACGAAACGCTTTCTCCAATCCGTTTGAGGGGTTTGGTTGTCAAGTTGTCACGCATGTTGTGGGATGACATCTTGGCGGTAAGCCGCAAAAAGCCAATGCCTAAAACCATGCAGCACCATACGGCTCGAACGATCCACATCCGCAAAGAGGGACCCTTCTCAGAGCTGAATCGAAGCTCCGGCCGCCTAGGCCCCAATTCCCGAAAAGCTCAAACTCTCAAAGGGGAGAAGGAGGGACCCTCAATGGGGACCCCTAACCTATAATGGGCTATTTAACGGGTATATAATAGCTATGGTAAGGGTATATACCTAGGGCTTGACTATTGGAGCTGCCAAGTTCAAGGCAATATGTTTCGGGGTTAAGGGGCTTGCACAACCTTGCTACTCTGACACGCCTTACTGCTATTGCTCGTACGACTGCTGTTACTCCTGCTACTGTTATTCCTTCTAAAACAACATATTGGTACTACTCTTAGTACTAATACTACTAATACTACCTTTGCAAGCACTACTGCTTTAACTGCTGTTACTGCTATTGCTACTTCTGCTGCTCCTGCTACTGCTACTGCTATTCCAACTCCCACTACTACTACGACTACTACTACTACTACTACTACTACTACTACTACTACCGCTGCTACTCCTACCCCTGCTATCCCCAAACTCCAAAACCCTAAGAGCCGTCGCAACCTTACCTGAACCCTAATTAAACCCTCAAACTTCTAAAATCTTAAAACCACAAACCCTAAAACCCGAACCCTAAAACCCTAAAATCTTAACCCTAAACCCTAAAACCCTGAAACCCTGAACCATAAACCCTCGCAGCCGTCGCCCGGCATCCAGGGAGCAGCTCGCCAACCTTGCCGGTCTACCTCTGGCATTGCAGAAAAAGCTGCAGGCTGCAACAGGGCTCAGCGGTTGGAGTTTGGGGTTTAGAAGTTCAGGGTTTAGGAGGTTAGGGCTTAGGGATTTAGAGTTTAGGCGATTAGGGTTTAGGAGGTTGGGGTTGTTTAGGGTTTATCACAGGGGAAAAGGAGGGACCCTCAATGGGGACCCCTACCCTATAATGGGCTATATAGTGGGTATATAGTAGCTATGTTAGGTAGGGGAAAAAACCTAGGGGTCCTTATTCAGGGTCCCTCCTTTTACCCTTGGAGTTTAGGGAGGCTGCAACAGGGGTCAGGGTTGGGGCTCTTTGAATTAAGGGGAAGTGCGATGCGGGGTCCTTCACAGGTACCATAAGGGTTCCTTCGAGGGCATCATAAAGGTTTCTTTGCCGGGTTCTCCTAGGGCTACCATAAGCTTCTCTCAAGGTTCCCCTGAGAGGGGTTCCATAAGGGTATCTATCACGGTTTTATGCGGTGTTACGGTGTATTTTATAGGGTTTGGGCGGCAAAATGGGGGGCTTGAAATTTAGCAGCAACACCATCCCCTCATGGTCGCTCGTACTGTTTCGGTAGACTATACTTCATGGTTTAGGGTGCCTTACAGGCACTGCAATGTTCCCTCTAAGGTTCCTTAAAGGGGTTCCAAGAGGGTGTCTATGATGGTTGCAGTGGTTTAGAGTTCGCTGCTAGGAAACTTCTCGGGCTTTTATAGGGTCTTACAAGGGTAGCACCGGGAACTCCAGAAAGTTGGAATATGGATTAATGATAGGATCCCCTATAATTTGCCATAGAAGGGTTAGGATATTCATATTGCAACTTTCTGGCTTTTACCTTTTGGTTTGAGGGTTCAAGGTCGAGGGTCTCGCATGTTTCGGGCTTCGCATAGAGTTGATGTCTGGCTTAGATGGGGATCCGAATCTTGGGATTGAATGTGAGGTTTCGGGGAGTTGTTATACTACAGATCCAGGCGATGCAGCCGGTGAGGCTCGTCTCTGAATGCCACCGCATTCCTCCTGGGTTTCAATCTTACACTAGTACTACCTTGTCTGCCTCTTCGGATGCATAAGTACCTGTAGCTGTATTCGAAAAATAGCTACCTTCGAGGATTCCTTAGGTGGTTCCTCCAAAGGCCTAACCCTAAACCTTTAAACCCCCAAACCCTGAAACCTCTGAAGCCGAAACCCACAGACTCGCTTCAAGCTTTTCCTAGGGGTACTTAGAAATACATTTTAATTTTTGGCTATTATAAATTATAACCCCTAAGAAACAGTAAAAATTACAATTGTTGCTAGGGTTCTAAGTTCAGTATAATAGATCAAACTCTGCACTCCCGACGCCGTTGGGTTTAGGGTTTAGGGGTATAGGAGTTAGTGGTGTGCAGGTTTAGGGGTTTAGGGGTTTACAGTAACCGGGACATGGAAATCGGATGCTGCCTTGTCTCAATGGGATGCTGGCTTGTCTTGTCCAGTTTCGGGGTTGGGGTATGCTGACATCATGTTCCAACGTCCTGGCCTCTTCCGCAGCAATCCTAAACCCTAAACCCTGCAAACCCTACGATAGACCGTAAAACCAAACCCTGAAGCCTGTACCCGAACCTCCTGATCTCCGAACCTTACTGGTGCTTAAGTAGAGTGGAGGAAAGCATATAGGCACTACTGCAATTACTACGGTTGATGATAGAAATCCTGCATTACCCATAATAAGGAATATACCATAATTCCCATAGTTTAGGGTCCTTAAGGTCATGCAGGATTTATATCATCAACAGTATAAGGGTTTAGATGGTACCGTTTTAGGGATCCCACAAGCACCAGTAAGAAACCTTGACAGGCCAGTCCCGGGCAGAGCGTATTTCCGTGACTCGCTCTGCAGCAGATCTAACTACCGGGCGACGAAACCTAACCCCAAAGTAAACCCTAAGCCAGTTCAAAAATCCTAAACCCCGCTGACTCCTGAATCTCAGAGCCATACCCTCTGAGCCTGAAAATGCTCATCCAGCGACATTCTAGTTGCGGCTTGGGTTCAGGATTCTGCTTCGGACTGGACCATGGATAAGGCGTTTTCCCACACTCCTGCAAAGCACAGAGCAGTTGTTGTACAAAGGCAAGTAGCATCCCATAAATGTTACATCATAGAGACTCTGCGCAAAAAGGATACTTCATACGCCTCGCATGCACATAGCTCTGTTGAGATGCCCACAACCTCACGACCCAAACTTGCAATTGCAGTTGGCGCACACACTCGCGACTGCTCATTTAATCCTAAAGCCTGCAACTGCGAGCTCTCAAACCGAACTCCACGAGCTCCTACACCGTTACAAAGTCGTACTAGTACTTATGGTATTTTTAATAGTAATAGTAATTATAGCAATATAAACAGTAATAGTAATAGAAAAAGCAATAATTAGTCATAGGAATAATATTACTACATGCCTTATCGCACATGGCAAGCCACACCCCGCGATCCCTTCGAAACAAAGACCGGCCTCAACCCCCAGACCCCTAAAGCTAAACATCCCGGCGGTTTAGGGTTTAGGGTTTTGGTTTTTGTTTAGGGTTTTGGTTTTGGTTTTGGTTTTGGTTTAGGGTTTAGGGTTTTGGTGTTGGTTTTGGTTTAGGGTTTAGGGTTTAGGGTTTTGGTTTTGGTTTTGGTTTTGGTTTAGGGTTTAGGGTTTTGGTGTTGGTTTTGGTTTAGGGTTTAGGGTTTAGGGTTTTGGTTTTGGTTTTGGTTTTGGTTTAGGGTTTAGGGTTTTGGTGTTGGTTTTGGTTTAGGGTTTAGGGTTTAGGGTTTTGGTTTTGGTTTTGGTTTTGGTTTAGGGTTTAGGGTTTTGGTGTTGGTTTTGGTTTAGGGTTTAGGGTTTAGGGTTTTGGTTTTGGTTTTGGTTTTGGTTTAGGGTTTAGGGTTTTGGTGTTGGTTTTGGTTTAGGGTTTAGGGTTTAGGGTTTTGGTTTTGGTTTTGGTTTTGGTTTAGGGTTTAGGGTTTTGGTTTTGGTTTTGGTTTAGGGTTTAGGGTGTTGGTTTTGGTTTAGGGTTTAGGGTTTAAGCTGTTATCAGCTATAGACAACCTGATGTTTGAAACCGTAAGCCACATTGAAGCTCTCATTTCGACACTGCACCCCAAGAGCCTGAGCTTCATACAAGCCCTGTATCTACAACACTTGCTTCCGCGAATAACCGCCTATGAAACCCAAGCCCTATGTTTGCACGACGTAAGCTCGATGAAAACCCTAAACCCTAAATCCTAAACCCTGAACCTTATAAATCTTAAACCCTAAACCTTAAATCTTACAAGCCCTAAATCTTATAAGCCCTAAATCTTATAAACCCTAAACCCTAAACCTTATAAATCCGAAGCCCCAAATCTTACAAACCCAAACCCTTCCGAAGCGGAGGAGCCGTCCTCCCTCCGCGGGTGCTGCGATCGCGCTTTGCCGACCCCAGCGTCCGAGCTCAGGTTGGGAGTTGAGATCTCAGGCTTAGGGTTTAGGGTTTAGGGTCCTCTGGAGGGTTTTTAAGGGTTCCTTTAAAGGGATCCATAAGGGCACTATAAGGGATCTATAGGGTTAGGGCTTAGAGGTTTAGGGGTTTAGGGTTTAGGGCTTGGGGCTTAGGGTTTAGGGCATTGTTCTAGGGTTTGTAAGGTTTAGGGTTTAGGGTTAAATAAGGTACCCCGAATATTCGGAAACTCCCATATTGGGCTTGGGGCTTAGTGTTTAGGGTTTAGGGTATTGTTTCAGGGTTTGTAAGGTTTAGGGTTTAGGGTATTGGGTTTAGGTTTTACAGATATAGGGCGTTTCCGAAAATAGGGACTCTAATATGGTACCCTAAATGGTATTAAGGGTCCCAAAATAAGGTACGCCGAATGTTCGGAAACTCCCATATTGTGCTTGGGGCTTAGGGTTTAGGGTTTAGGGTATTTTGTAGTGGGTTTAGGTTTTAGGGCTTATAGCGTTTAGGGTTTAGGGTATTTTGTATTGGGTTTAGGTTTTAGGGCTTAGAGTTTAGGGGTTGGGTTTGGGGTTTCTATAGTCTCCGTAGGTTTCCATCCCAGAGGGTCCACATACACTACCATTGCGGAATTAGGTTCGCGAAACCATCATGGGGATGGTCATTTGGGCCCTAATTCCATAATGGTAGTGTATATGGACCCTCTGGGTATAGTCTCCTGAGGAATTACTGTTTTCATGCAAAACCCAAGAGAATATTGACACTATTAGTTTAATTATGGTTCCAAGGGGGTAAAGGTTTAGGGTATTGCATTTAGGGTTAGTGTAATGGCGGTCTACCTGGGTTTCTGTAAGATACGGGTTACTGCGAAGGTTAAGGGTTAAGGGTGTAAGGTTGACGCGTCGGGCTTTTGTGGGCTTTGGTTTTAGGGCTTGGGGTGTAGGGTTTCGGGGTTTTGTTCTTGGAGTCTACAGGCCTTCGGGTTCAGTGTTTTTTAAGGGCTTTGGGATTTGATGTTGTGGTCTCAGGCGCAGAGGTCTCGTTGTTGCTGAATGAGTTCGAGTCTGGTTGACTGTTGCAGCAGTTCTGATGTCCAGAGTAGCAGTAGCTGCAGCATCAGGACGAGAAGGCACCGTTGTGGCGGCGACGGCGGCGGTGGTGGTAGTGGTCGTAGTAGTGGCAGTAGTAGTCGTCGTCGTCGTCGATGTAGTGGTAGTGTTAGTGGTGGTGATAGTTGTAGTCGTAGTCGTTTTGTAGTCGTCGTCGTAGTAGTAGAAGTAGGAGTAGGATCACGAGCCGGAGCAGGAGAAGGAGGAAGAGGAGGAGCAGGAGGAGGAGCAAGAGTGCCACTGACAGTCTGAGCAAGAGCAAGACCAAGACCAAGCTGTGGTTGAAGAAGTAGCAGTGATCGTCGTGGTGGTGGTGGTAGGGATGGTAGTGATGATAGATGTGCAGTGCCTTGGCTTTATGCTGTTCCCTATCCCGGGAAAGCATGCAAGAGGACTGATTTATATTGCTTGTCAGGAAGAGGGTGTTGGTTGAGCAGTGGCCAGGTTGATGGCGTGAGGGGCTGATGGGTTTGCACAGATGTTTCGGCACGCGAGATACTGCGGAGGAACATGATACCAAGAAACAACGGCACATTGCCCCCCCCCCCCCCACCCCATCCCCACCCCAGAAAACAAGCAGAAATGCGGCACACATTGCTACCAAACCCGCATAGCGCGTTTGGTCTTGCGGAGTCCTTTCTATGCTGTGTTCAGAAAGCCTAGGCACACAATGCCACTACTGCGAACACCTGCAAATAGCGGCATTTAAAGCACTTTCCGTAGCATGCAGGACAAGTCCCGGCCTCAGTAAGCAGTGAAACCCCCAAAAACGCACCATTGCAACTGAACCCGCTAGCAAAACCAAACCATCCTTAGACAGGACTCCGGGGGCGTCCGCTGAGCGCGAAGTGAGCTGCCCGCACAGACTATCGAAGTCCCAGCGGAGGCGGCCAGGTGTCGTAAGTGGGTGTAGGGTTTAGGGGTTTAGGAGTTTAGAGTTTAGGGTGTAAGCCCTTTCTCAAATTGGGTTCTGCAGTACCATACTTTAATGCTTCGTTTGGTGCTTTTTCAATACTTGTTCCTTAAAGGAACAATTTTGGAGTAAAACAATGGTTTTAATATTTAATTTTTCGGTACCTGTTACTTAATTAATCACAGGAACCATCATCTATAACTTTTCTCGCTGAGTACTCCAAAGTCCAGCATAGCTTCTCAGTAAACCAACATCTGACCACCTTTGCGACCATGTAATGTAATTGCGCTCAGCGTTATCCCTGCAGTCGAACCACTTTGAGATATTGTGTAACATCGCAGATGCAGGACGGTTGCGGAATTTCGAAGTGTTTGTAACTAACTTTCCATGACATTCGGACTGTTTTCGGCAGGGTTTCTGACATGCATTCATCGGGATTGCGACTCAGGGTCTTCGTAAGCAATCCAGACCTGCACTTGAACACCTTAGCCGCTGAATATTTTACTCACAAATGACAAACCCTAACAGTATGTACATCCCAAGATTTGGAATGTTGATTTCATTGAACCTCTAAAACCCAATAGCCTCCGACCCTAAAGCCCTTTCCTTTCACACACAAACTATACTGCACGCAGATGGGAGTTGTAAAAAATTAGGGGTACCTTCAGTCTTTTGGGGTCCTTATAATGAGGATCCTACTATTCAGGTCCCCTATTTTCGGAAACTCCCAGATAAGCTTGTTCTGGCTGTCAACCTTGTAAAAACTCTGAGGAGCTCGAGACGACGGCATTCAGATCACTTGGACCCCGACGTAAACCATAGGAGGCCAAAAGGGGTTTTAGCCTATAGGGGTTTAGTAGGGATTAGGGTTCCCAGTTCCCATAATAGGGTTCATTTTAAGGAATCCCTACCCCAAGAATCTTAAACCCCCCCTTTTGGCCTCCCATCATAAACCCATTAAAAACCCTGCAAGACCACATCACACCACATTCCAATTTCAAGGCCGTCTATGAAATAGTGCAAAACCCTGCAACACTCGCTGGCACCCTTGCAACCCTAGTCTACTTGACAAGGCTCCCATGGTGAACCCAAAATGCAAATCCCCAACCCCAAAACCCTAACCGTGAACCCTCAAACCGAAGCCGTACACCTTAAACCCTACCTACACTAAACTACCGTGAACCGCAAACCTAACTACAAACCCTGCACCCCAAACCCTAAACCGTAAACCCTAAACCCTTAAACCGTAAACCCTAAACTCCCAACCCTAAACCCCGCACCCTGGGCCCTCCTTCGGCCGAAAGCTTCGAGTGTTTGAGCTGAGCGACAGCATTCCGCGGAACTTCGGTCGACAAAGAATTCGGCCTGGAGCTTTCTGCGCGGGAGGCGGGCTAGCATTAGTTTTACGACTAGGATTTTGAGTTGTGGCTGCAGGGTAAGCGTTGGTAATGCTGATGATTGTAGTGATAGCACACAATGTGCACGTGAAACATATTACTCGTGATAGTAATAAACCAAGAACTACCAACGGCTGATGATAGTCACGACCACCGCTTAAAGCAGTTCTCAGTGTGTTTTAGAATAACGGTATACTGCAGATATGTATGTATCTTGCTTCATCATGCATATGTTGTAATCAAGAATACTGTTGAGAGCCTCTGTGATTGCCTTGTCTTTGCCTTGACCCTGCTATGCGCATGTTTTTACCGTTTCCATGTTCGCGTTACTCCGCTTCGACTTGTGCCATCGGTGTGGATTTCGTGTTTAACTCCAGGCCCCAAGCCTGCTCTTACAGTAGAAGCCAGAAAGTTGGAATATCATTATCGTAACCCATTTAAGGTAAATTATAGGGGATCCTACCATTAATCCATATTCCAACTTTCTGGAGTTCCCTTTATTGTCATTGCATGTGCGTGATGAATTAACGGTTGTCTTCGAGGTTAGATCTAGCTTGCTAAAGCATGCAGTAAATAATTTCCTTAAGTCTTGCTTGAGGAGGCTGGTATTGTAGGATTCTGCATTTGGAGTTGAAGCTTCTTTTGGGTAAGAGCTTAGCTATGAGTTTAAGGTGTCTGTCTGTATGTATGTATGTGTAGGTAGTATAGGTAGTTTGGGTAGTATAGGTATGTAAGTATGAGAGAGGCCACGAGAAGAAGAATAAGGAGAGAGGTCGGCGTGGCCATATCCATGCAGGCGAGCCTGTCACGCACTAGACTTTGGGATCAGCTGTTCAATGTTTTAGTAGGATTCTTGATACGATCCTTGTCAGGAAGCTCCAGAGTCAGGCGTCGAAGAGAGAACAAGCCCAAGTGTTTATCAGTCACGGGCAGTTCGGAACCTGCGAACTCGAAGGGACAAAGCTGCCCGAGACACCATGCAGGGGATCTTAACAGCAAATTGCTGTTGCTGCATGAATCTCAGAATCTGTCTGTCTCTGTGTGTGTGTGTGTCAGATCCCTTGTATTCAACATGTTGGAGATGCGTGCCTGAATGACGGTGTTGTCGCTCGAAACTGTGTGACTTTTCGACACCTACCTGGCAGCATCTCCGTGTACTGCATGCCCCGCCAAAATCGAATCCCTAAACCCCTAAACCCTAAACCCTAAATCCCCAAACCCAAAAGCTTAAGCCCTAAATCCCCAAGCCCCGAACTTTGAACCCTGAGTCCCCAAACCCTAAAGTAAAAGCCAGAAAGTTGGAATCTGATTATCCTAAACCCTTCTATGGTAAGTTATAAGGTATCCTACCCTGAAACCATATTCCAACTTTCTGGAGTTCCCTTTAATGCTAGAGCCCCAAATCCAAAAACCCTTCATCTGAGATTAACAAGCCCAAAAGGACTGGATGATGAAGCCAATCCCAAAAAACTGCGATGCTGTTAGTGATACCTGAAGCCCGAAGCCCTAAACCCTAAACCGTTCAGAGCAAACTTGTTCGGCGGGGGCAGCTGTGTCCTCGCACGGAGAAGTTTCATTCTCGGAGGAGGTGCAGAGGCCAAGTTGCCAGGGGTTTAGGGTTCAGGGTTTAGGGCTCAGGGTTTAGGGGTTTAGGGTTCCCTTCAAGGTTTCAGGGGCCCTTAGGGGGGTAAGGGGGGAGGGGGTTTAGGGTTCAGGGTTTAGGGCTCAGAGTTTAGGGTTCAGGGTTTAGGGTTCAGGGTTTAGGGCTCAGAGTTTGGGGCTCAGGGTTTAGGGCTCAGGGTTTAGGGCTCAGGGTTTAGGGTTCAGGGTTTAGGGTTCGGGGTTTAGGGCTCAGGGTTTAGGGTTCAGGGTTTAGGGCTCAGAGTTTAGGTCTCAGGGTTTAGGGCTCAGAGTTTAGGGTTCAGGGTTTAGGGTTCGGGGTTTAGCGTATTTCGAGCTGAGGGCGTCGGTATTAGTTGCGCTGTATGTTGAATGGACTCCTGCCAGTCGTGTAAGCAGAGTTGGAATCCATGTGGTTTTACTTATCATAGCCGAACATCACACAACCCGCCAGTTGCTGACTTCAGAACAGCCAGCCGAATAGAATAAAAAAGCTCACGGTCTATAGTTTAGGATATAGTAGTTGGTCGCATGTGATTACTCTGAGATTTAAATAGTTCTGGCCAAAGGAACAGTAATCCACGTGCCGACCGGTGTGTTGAAGTATCTGGCGGGATGGCAGTGTTCCAGCTGATGCCCATGATGTTTTGGGAACCGAGTCAGCTAGAGCACCTCTAGATAATATAGGGGCTCAAATAATTGCCAATACTGTTTGAGGCGTTCCGCATTATATTTATGATGTTGTAAACCCCAAAACCTAGTCGAATTACTGAGGACCTCATATCATGCCAGCTGATGTGCATGATCTGCAAGTGGTGCTTCTGATGTTCGGGGCTTACACTTACCTTGGTTAGTAGGGAATGGAAGAATGGTAGTAATGGTAGTTCTAATCGTACCCCATTCCTCCATTCCCTACTAACCAAAGGTAAGTACAGGTCCAGCTGAGTTTGACGATGTTCGCTCACTCCCTAGGCTCTGAACCTCAAAACCTCGCTCTCGGAAAACTGAGGCCCACAACGGTCTTGGAGGTATTTCCCGGTTCGAGTTGAGGTCGAAGTTGAGCTTTCGATGCGTTTATAAGAACGGTAAGTTCTCAACACCAAAGTGAGACTCTTAAGGAGGTGCCATAGATACCGATACCAGCCTAACGGTCATGCTATCCTATGCACTAAACCCGAACCCTAGACTCTACAAAGGCTTTAGCGTAGTAAAGGTTTGCTTCGAGACTCTAGGCAATGGCGCGGCCTCCAAAGAATGCACACCTCCGGAAAACTTGGAGGGTCAGGGGTGGTTGGGAAAGGGTTCAGGGCTTAGGTTAGGGTATTGATGACTTTATGTCGTGCACCTTTGCAGAAGTCGTGAGTTTCCATTTGGATTGCCAGTTTGAAACTAGCAAGACAAGCCCGAATTAGGTCAAGCGGAAGCTGCACTGGTTTAGAGCATTTAGGGCTGAGGTCAACAGTTTCTTGACACTAAACGCAGTCGCCTCTGTGGTAGTTCACATTTGGATTATCTCCTTGTTACCACGCACCCATGATCCTTCAAGTTGAGATGACATCCGACTGATGCGTGCAGCGCTGCGACGTTCAAAAATCGGCCTTTGCGCCCCCATGCAGCCTTGCAACCTGAAAACAATCAGGCCCGATATATATATATATATATATATATGCACATATATATATACAAACATATATATAGTATAATATATATATATGACTTATTTATGTTATTATGTATACACATACGTCGACCTTGAGTTTACTAGCCGTTAGCCTTCGAGATGAAGCCGTAAACTGCGAAACGGCCATCTTTAGCGGCATTATCGTCTCGAGGCTTATTCTTTTGGATTTTGTCCACCGTGACACACAAGTCGCGATTAGGGTCTCGAGTTTGTCTTTGGTGGGCTCCTGGTTGGACGATCG